TAGTGGCGTTATATATACTTTGGTAACTTTTTTTTTTTACACTTATTTGAGTATTTTGAGTAAAAATAAATCATATTTTGGTTCCGCACTCATTACACGTGTAAAGCAAACTTCTTAGTGACATAGATTGCGATATTCAGAAAAGGTAAGGACATGTAAATCAATCGTACTTCTTTTTTTCTTTTCCTTTTGTTATTTTGAGTACACTAAAGTAATTACTGGGCCTCATGTCTAAAGTTAACTCGGAGAAGCTCATTTTTTGGAAAATGTTTTTGGGGCATTTGCATCTATATCCGCTTTTTGTGTCACATTTTAACTTGTGCCCGCTTTGCAAAAAAAATTGCAAGCGTACTCGTTTTTTCGCATAACTTCAGCACACGGGGCTGAAGTAGCAAAGGCAATCACGCAAAACTTCAAAATTCTAGTAGTCGGGCCTGAAGTTCAGCTCTAGAGCTGAAGTTTTTGTTTTGTAACCGGCAAACTTTAGTTCTAGAGCTGAAGTTTTTGTGTTGTAACTGGAAACTTCAGCTCTAGAGCTGAAGTCTGAGGGAATCACTACTGTTTTTGATGTTTCGCGGTTGATCAACTTTGATGTTGCAAGTACATTCACCTGAAAATACAGATGATCTCGGATTCCAGAAATATCCAGCAAGCTTGAAAAGGTTGAAAGAAGTAAACAAAAAAAAGTAGAAAGATCGATGATAAGCTATAGCGTGTAAACCTCTGAAGAGAAATTTGATGGATAAGTTGCAGGTTATAACATGTGCAAAGAAAGTTCGAAAGAGAAAAAGCAAAAGATATTGTAATCGTTACCGAAAGGGTTTGACTTCCACAATATGCTTTAAACTAAAAACCAAAAATTTATATGAAAATCAGAGAAAAAAGAGAATAGCGTTTGCTGAGAAAACTAGTAAAAGGAGACTGGTATTGAGAGACCAGGAAGAAAGTGTCCATTTATATAGTATCACTGCATGGGAAGAACGTCCTAAGGTTCTTAGCTGAGATTCTCCTGTATATGATTCGAGAGAGTTGCAAAGTAAGGAGGAGGAGAAAGGGGGCTGAAGTTTTTTAAAAAGTGAGTACAAATTAAAAGTTTTTAGATAAATGGGTATAGGGGGGACAAATGCAATTTTTACAATGTTTTTGTGGTAGGAGACCATATTAAGGAAACTTCTTTAAGTCCACTTTTTTTCTTTCTTTACAGCCAATCACAACTTTTTACTTTCGTTCTTTTGTTTTTGCCGAGTGCGGTACAAAGCTGTAGGTCGAAAAGTCAGGAGAGAATATTTTTCTTGGACTTTGCCCAATTACTTGAAAATAAGCTTCCTATTTTCTTTTGGAGGCGGCAAAGAAAAAAAAAGACGAAGAAAAAAAGAACCTAAGGGATTTTGATGTAATAAATGGAAGAATATGTCCAGTCTAACTAATCATATCACTGAGATTGAAAAACCCAAGAATGAATTCCTGTTACTGAATGGCTTCAAACTCATTTCAGATACTATCAATCACAACATTCCATGTAACAGATTTTCATACTTAACATAGGAATAATCCATTATGCTAGCCAGGAAGGCGCATTGAAGATAATGGTTGTTTGTTTTCCTTTGATATATCAGAGCTCAATACAAAATTTTCTAGGACGTAAAAAGAACTTCATATAATGGGGAAAATTTTCTTTCAGCTACGAAGAATGACATCTAGTTCAAAAAAAAAAACTCATATTTTGTGTCACTACAAAATTTTCTTGAGTGACTCCTAGCATAGCAGCATGTTACCACAAAAATGCACACTGCTCTTATCGTCAATTCTGTATATCTATGTTGTACTCTGTGAAATGTTTTTAATTACTGTTTCACTTCTGGGTTTGTGGATCTTCTACTTTACCGGGAGCGATAAAGATGGAGCACAACATGAAGATGTGTCAATCTCCGCAACCTCTGTATCTTCTACTTCACTGGGGAGCGACAAAAATGGAGAATAACATGAAGAAGAGTCAGTCCCAGCAGCCTCTGTATCTTCTACTTCACTGGGGAGTGATGAAAGTGGGGCACAACATGAAGAAATGTCAATTCCAGCAACCTCTGTATCTTCTACTTCACTGGGGAGTGATGAAAGTGGGGCACAACATGAAGAAATGTCAATTCCAGCAACCTCTGTATCTTCTACTTTACTGGGGAGTGATGAAAACGGATCACAACATGAAGAAATATCAATGCCAGCAACCTCCATGGCATTGCAGACCCATTCAGGAACGTCACCTTCGGGGAACTAGAGGTCAAATTTAAGAAGTCATCACAATCCGCAGATATAAATATTTGTATTAGCAAATATAAGACGCACGCAAAACCAGTAAACCACACAGGAAAAGGATTCATGTGATTAATGCCTTGAAGACTTGGTCAACAGGTCGATCATGGAGAGATTCTACTTGTCTCATGAACTAACTTCTTGGAGAAAAAAATGTTCTTCTTGATCCAGGGCCACAAAGGAAAGGTGTTATTAAGGGAAAGAAGGTGAGAACTCTTATAATGCCTCCGGTCTTTAGATGCTTAATTTGCAGCCCGAGCAACATCATCAAGAATAATGTTGCAAAAGATCATTGAGGCCCCTAGGGCTTAGTTCAAGTGACAAAGGTTGAAATAGCCATTCACCATGTGAACTATGCCTGGCGTTTAAGTGGAGAAGGTTAGAAGAGCAGATCCATTATCCCCGAGTTTCGAAGGCTATAATTGGTCCTACGGGTTGCCCCCCTACAGATTTCTCGGTCTTAAGAAACTAATAATAATACGTTGCAAAAGAAATATTTGTTCTTTTGATTTAAGATAAGTTAGAGCATGTTCTCAAGTCTGTGTCAATTGAAATTGCTTTCCTAAATTGAGGAAGTTTCAACACACAGAAACATCTTCGCATCCTATCAGATCAAACTTAGCCAAGTGCATTATGATATGTGACAGAAAATCATTCAGTAAGTTTAGCAAGAAGACCTGTGATAAAAAGAGAAGTATTTCCTTAAACTGAAAAAAATATACCAAAATCTAACACATAGAGAGCTCTTCATAATGGTCTTAGCATGTGGTATAGCAGATAAAGGTAAGAGAAGTTGTGCCCATCAATTGCTTTTTTGATATACCAGGAGAAATGCATAGTCATTGAAATCATTTTGTTTGTAGTGGGATTATTCATTACCATTTTCTGCAGAAACTGGCAAACAAATCTGCAAAATTAAACAAATATGTCAAATGATCAGGAAAATAGAAGCAATAGATAGTGATTCATCTTTACATGCAATAAAAGTGACAAGTCAAGAAATCTGATAATAGTGAGGAAAATCTATTCAGAGCTAGAGGTGAACATACTCTGGAAACCGTCCTTCAACAATTGATGAGTGCAAGTTTCTGCTAAGCTGCATAGTTTGAATACCTCAAGGTCATGGCTGAGCTATATACAAACGAAAATATCTTTCAAACCTCAGTGCTTGGTACCTTCATCATATAGTATAAGTTGTGATATGACAGAAGTTGAGATCCCATGGCATCTTTAGTGACAAGGCAATGAATGTAAGCCCTGGTATATTTTTTACAGACCTGTCCAAAGATGACTGGTATTTGAAACAATGTATAAATGGAAAATAAAACCATCACTAGTCAAGCATCGTTTATCTCAATTTACCATACAGTCACATGTGGGATCAATAGGACGCATATCCTCTGTCATTGCCTTGTGTTTAAGTTTTAGAACTCCCTGCATCATGCCAAAGCAAAAGCATTATTCCACTACAAAATCAGTGGTGGATGATATTTTCGTCATAAATTGTCTAGTTTGGTTTTCAGGGCCCAAGTTTATGACAGATGGCGAGGAAAATTTGTGGCACATAATATATTTCAGGAAATAAAACAAACATTAAATCAACAAGAGAAATATAAAGTCAGATGATAAATTAGAGGAAAAATAGTTTTTCTTAAAACATCCTAAAGTTTCAAATCATGAACTACCAGTCTCCACAAACACAGACAAATGAGGCATAGTCAAGAATACTATCACATGGAAGGAGGGAAGTCAATGTAGCATGTAAAGAGCAGGATGCACAAATTCAACTCAAGATGGTTTTCCTACTAAAAGGAAAGACTATTTATATGTACACAAACAGAATATTTTTTTAGCAGCACAAGCACAATATAAACTATATGACTATAAGATCCACAACATGTTTATTGATCAAGAATCCTCAAAACATTGATGTTGGGTTAGAATATTAGCAGGTATAGATTTCTTATCATGCAGTATGAGAAATAGTATTCTATTGGTTTCACAAGAATGCTTACTGTGTGATTTCCACAACCAATTAAGTGGTGAATATTTGGAGGCAGAGGGCAGAGAAAATTACCTCAGGTACAAGCGCTGTGCCAAAGCGAGCAGTACGAGTAGGATAGACACAATCATACATGTCAGCACCTAAAGCACTGCATACCACAATGTCTAGTGGGTAACCCACGCCCTGGATTACAGCAGTCGAGATATCAGAAGCCAGAAGGCATCAAATCTATAATTGGAAAATTTGAAAATAGATGCATCATGCTAAATCTACTAAAGAACATCATAAAAGTGACATATACCATGACATATCGTGGTTTATGCTCAGGTAGTGCAGCAGTACACTGAGCCACGACACGCCAAAACGAGTCTTTATCTTCACCGCCTGCAAGACCACCAATAGCATAGCTGTCACACAAGTAAACCCGGTCATTTCACTCAGTTGACTGTTGAAGCTCAATTCTTCTAGTTTGGCTTGTCTGATAAGCTGCTTTTGAGTCTAATAAGTTAAAAGAGGTCCTTTTTCTTTTTAATAGCAGCTAGAAAGTCGGAATTTTATCAGATGAGGGATTTAAAATGATCAGCGCATATAACAACTTTAATTCTACTGAGGAACTTCATAATATAAATCAGTTTATTTGTAACTCTAAATGCACATCATACCCAGCAAAATTAGAATACAAAAGGAAAAAACAAAAAGGGTTGGTTCTGAGCTCTAGTAAGAAACTTATATTCTCTCCCTTTTAGAACTTTACCAAAGATGCACCTAGGGCATCTAATGGCCAATGTATAAATCATGGGGTATATATAAACAATTAGAAAGACAATTAAGGGAGCTTCCATCCATTATGCACAAATAGCAATATGCAAAGATAACCCAAGAATAGCAAATTCATCTCCACAGTCCCTCCCAACCAGATACCATGCAATGATTTTTATGGGATGTAATGTTAGCGAAGTAACTGGGATCTGTGCAACAGTTATGCTGCAGAATAGAGAATGGTGCTACACAACTTGATCCACTGTGGGTAAGGGTCATAACGCTGTTTGAAAATCAGTGTTCTTCAAAAGAGCAATCTGGAGAAGAGAACAATGAGATACATTATGGCTATGCTAAAAATGCAGGACAATTGTGACAGTGATCAGAAATTGAGCTGGTCCTTATTAGGGAACTCTTTGACAGTACTGGATAAACATATCAACCTACTAGTAGATGGGATGCATTATGTTCGGAATCACAAGGCATTTGGTAAATTCCTTGTGGTATCTTTTGGATCAAAAAAAGAAGGGACAAGGAACCTAAAACTTCAATTGAAAAGAGGTGGCAGGAAGACTGTCTCTTAAGATCCTTTCAGAAGAAAATCGTCTTCTCAAATGATGAAAAAGATTGCACCCAAGGGTGTGGCCTAGCAGGCAGTGAAAGAAGATTGAAGAGTATGACAGACCAGGGTTCAAATCCCAATGGAGGCCAAAAGCCAGATGATTTTTCCTATTTGCCTAGGCCTTGATAGATAGAGTTTTCGGCACCTATGCTGGTGGAAGGATGTGAGTATTTGGTGGAAGAGTCAAGAAGCTTAAAGTGGACCAAGCACCACCGTTATCGAAAAAATGAAGAAAAAGATTAAAGTTACAGGTGCAAAATTAGAACCTCAAACCAACATGTGCAATTAAATCTTCAATGAGCTACTAAAGGTTATTTGGTTCGAGGAATTCAATTCCAGACTGGATCTTACGACAGAACTAGAGTGAGAATTGAATCCTACTTTCTGTTTGGTACAATAGATCTTGAACCATATAATCAACCAAATTAATTTTCATTCCCAAAATGCCCCTGGACAATCTTACGGAACTAAACCGAAGACATAAACAACAAACCCAAAAAATAGAATATATTATCAAGGAATTTAATCTTTAGCTCTAATCCAGAAGGTTTGTTATCCATGATAACTACCCAGCCACTGCCACTTCCCCAAGAGCAAGTAGTGAGAACAAAACTGGGAACTAGGTAGCATATTATAATAAATTTTGTCCCACCTAATCCGGATCCTTATCCCATCACCAAATTACCCTGATAAATTGCATGTACTGAACAGTTAACCATTTCAATATATGTAGTTCGACTGAAACTAAGATAGGAAATTGCAAGCTATTATGCACATCCCCCACACACCCGTCCCTTCATGTGATAGACATCATAATCTCTCTTTGCTGGGAAATTCTTTCAAAACTAAGAATGTAAAAATATACACTTAAAGTTTCCACATACAAGGTGATGAACGTTTAGGATAGTGTACATATTCAGAACTACAAACATACCCAGGCAAATTGCGCTTCACTAAACCTCTGACACATATATCCCTGATAGCAACAAACAAAACGAGAAAGTTGTCAAATGAGATGTAATTATGTAAACAATAAAGCAATCTCAGAAGCAACAGGGATGTTACAATGTAAGTCACCTTAATACAGGATCTAAACCACCTTGCACTATGCCAAATAGATTCTGCTCATGTGGTCTCTTGTGAGCTGCCAATAACAAATGAAAGCATGAAAAACACAAACTGAGAGTCTGGTAGAAGTACATCAGCAACTTTAGCTTGGAAACTCTACATTTAACAATAGAAAGAGAGAAATTCTGAAATGAACTTTGAGAACAGTTAACTCTTATACAGTCTTTTCTGTTGTTGGCATCTACTTCTACAATGAAAAACTTCAAAATCGAAGTTTCACTGAGAACCTTACTCAAACTATCTGTCAATTAAGTGTTTACTGGACTTAACCCTTGTTAAGTACTGCTAGTTGATAGCATAACATGCCAAATGGCGCTCAATATTGTAAGAGGACTATTTTACATTCAATACTAACTTCATCTAACTCTACCACCTAACTTATCGCATCTACCATCAGATGTGAGTCAATCTAGTCCTTTCATCACCGAACAACAACAACAATAAACCCAGTGTAATTCCACAAGTGGGGTCTGGGGAGGGTAGTGTGTACGCAACCTTACCCCTATCTTGAGAAGGTAGAGAGACTGATTTCAATAGACCCATCCTTTCATCACCGAAGTCTGCCAGATTAACCAAAAGCTAAGAGCTCAAGTGTTTTCGAATTCCTCTCATTCCTGGGCTTCCCATCCTCAAAAAAACCTCCCACCTTTCCAGCCAAAACTTTTGAAAGCTGCCACCCTCTTCCTAGGCTTTGCAATCTCACTGTAAGCCTTGCAAACCACTGTTTGCAGACATCCTACAAACCAATGGCGGTGGTATTGATTTGTAAGAAGGTGGTGAAGGTTCACAAAGAAAGATTGCCAGAATTTTAGGAGATCAGGGCCATTTGCAGCCTATTTGAGAGGTTTAACTAGCATGAAATGGAACAAAGGGCATTGACAAAATGCAAGAAAGTTGGTCCAAAACCTATGTTGCTCGGATCCTCCAAACTTGCTGCCTGGTGTGTCTCAGATCCTCCAAAAGTAATGCATTTTTGGAGGATCATAGCAACATAGTCCAAAATATCAAAACAAGAAGTAGAGAAATTCCCTACATTACAGCTGGTTAAAACCAAATCCTATAGAGATTATCTCTTGCCCACTGAATGTGATTAATCATAAAGTTCAGTAAAAGATAAATAACCACATCAAAATGTACAGGCTGCTCAATCATATTACCTGCTATGCACCTATCTATCCAACGCAGAGTTCGATACATAGCCTCTTCAATTCGTGGACCTGTGATAGTAGTTTTCACAACATCATCAAGAGCCATAATAATATCTGCACCAATTCTGTTCTGCAATGGGTCGGGCAAGTCAGCAAGTGCAACGGAATCAGTTATAAAGGGCTACTCAAGAAACATAAACTGATAAATCTCAGGCCGATGAAAAGATATGATGCAATTAATGACTAATTAGCAGCAATATTGAGACCAGATGATATAGAATATAAGCACATACGTTTTGACACAATTTTGTAATGACTAATCTACCATGCATGTGAAGATTGCACCAGTTTTGAAATATTATCGTCATTCTGTTTGGAATTATTATACCGTCCTGCTTGCTTAGAGTATGACATTGAGATAAAAAATAGTATAGTACAAGATCATAAATAACAGAACATCTACATCCCCTAAATGTACCTACTTGGATGTGTATTGACTCTTCAGGTGTAAGGAGCATTGGCTTTCCATCCACCGGTGACTGCAAAAAGGAACAAATTAAATCACATGAAACATAAGAGATAAGGATATGAAAAGTAAAAGAGAGAGCACAAAAAGAATACCTGAAACGTGACACCCTTCTCAGTGATATCAGCCAAATGCAACAAGGAGACCTACAACCAGAAATTTTAAACTCATTTGTCAAACAGCACATCATATAGAATAAAGCATTTCATGTTGTTCATAAGACACTGAACAACTGGCTGCAAAATTGGAATGACGTGCATGAAATCCATAAGCATAAAGGCGACACAATAGGGCATAAAGGCGTATAGCTTTTTGATCAACATGTGTTCAGTACATCTTAAATACTGATGGTTATAGTGTTTCAAAAAAAAAAAAATTAACCGAAGATTAAGGAAGCAGAACTGTGATAGACTACCATTTGAAAGCCCCCAGAGTCAGTAAGTAGTGCCCTCGGCCAATTCATGAACTTATGTAGACCTCCTAACTCATCGATGAGCTCAGAGGTAGGACGTAGTGCCAAATGATATGTGTTTCCGAGGATTATTTGGCAACCAATATCCTCAAGCTGGCAGGCGGTCAAACCCTTTATAGTGCCTGTGATGATGAAAAATCAAATGGATGACAATGAGAAAAAATGCATATCATCAATGATATGAAGACCAATAATAGTTTCTATTTCTACAAGTATGAAGACCAGTAGAAAGTACTCTCACAAAAAGTTTCAATCATGAAGTCTGTAAACCTATATATTTACAGAGTACAATATATAGAGTTTTAAGCCGTGGACAGAATCACCTGATACTTTTTATTAGAAACAAAAATTTGATAATAACAGTAATAGAAGACAGAGACACAGAAATACCACGGGCAAGGAAGAGCAATTTCACTATATCAAGTACCGGGAAGTAGGCATATTGCGCGAACCACGTAAATTTCTATGTCTTTATCTTCTATTCCATTATTATCATATAATCGTGTCTTGTTCCAACCAAAAGTACCGATCAATCTTGTTCGTTGCGTAACATAGAGGAAATCAAAATCTAACTTCTATATGTCCACATGCAGCAATCCCAAGTATGCACCTCCCAATACCCAATTAAGTGAGATAGTTTTGACTTGACACGACTACCAGAGCATATATGAAACGGTTTCACTGTCGTTATCAACCAAAACAGACTAATACCAAATTCTACACTGTCAACATACTTATAACAAAGAGCTATCAACAGACTGCTGGCTCTAATTTGAAGGTTTCTCAAATATTTAAAGAACTTGGCTAAAGACTGGATAAAACAATTACAATATTAGTATTAAACAAAAGAGAGAGAGATGTCTTCCTGTCAATCAACTCCTAACATACTCTTACCTTGCGTGCCAACAGGCATAAAAAGAGGTGTCTGGCATTCATAGTGAGGGAGTATAAGCCGAGCTGCACGAGCACGATTAAATCTCCCAAGGATCTGGTATCAGAAAGATTAGGCACAGTTCCTTAGTGGAGTAACAAACAGCTAAATTTTGGGTAAGAGAGAAAAACCTCACTAAATTTTTTGTAAAAGAGAGAAAACTTAGGGAGACTAGTTACACCACTTTGCCATATTAACTGCAACTAAAAATTACAGCTGGTCTTATCTGTAAAATTGCCATAAATCTTTTCCTAAATTCGTTGGAAATGGTTAAAATACTCGGACAAAGCTGTGTCACTCAAACTAGATTCCTTGTCCTCCTTCATTAACTGAGGTTCTTATCACGTCAAAAATTTGCAACTTGAAATTTTTAACAACTCATAATGATGGGACTCGTTGTTTTGATGAGTACCATGGATCAAAATTTTCATATCAAAAAATCTATTATACTACAATAGAAGTGGTAATAATGTTCTTGTGCTACTTGCTATTACCAAGCAACATCAGCTTAATATGACAACAACTAGGCCTCAATCCCAAACTAAGTTGAGATAAGCTATATATATCCTCAATATCCATCCTCTCCTACCCATTTCATTTCAATACTCTATAGTTTGTTATTTTAAGAGGTATCTCGATTTATCAATATTTAAGAATCCAATTTCATAAGGCACAATGCAGTTTGCAAATGCTAACTCCTGTTAGCAGCTTCTATTTGTATAAAAATACTCAAAGAAATTCACCTCGAAACGAAGTGCCATTAATGCCTCTATATTCCACCAGGTTCAATAGCTCATAACTGAAACCATAAAAACAAACTTCGTTTAGGCTCAATAAAGTAAAACTTCAACTATAAAACACAAACTTCAATTCCACAACCTAAAATTTTATTAAAGCACAACCGCATTGTAGCTCAGGACTAACATAAATAAACCAGTCATCATATAAAAACGTACATATTCTGCTAGATAATGGAAGATTCTACTATAAGTTTATGGCTGTCTAATACATGCAATTACTTTTAGTTATACAAATAATACTGCATGGAAGGTGAATATTTAGACAAGCTTACCGGTAACGGTGGATATACCGGCGGCGGCGGCGGCGGGAAGGACAATCAGAGTTTGTCAGTGTGAGGGTGCCCTAAATAGAGTAGTATGAGGTACGTACAAGGCGCCGACCAAAGTCAAATTTTGCTCTATATAGCATAAGCTTTAAATACAGTCGCCGGGAATGGAAGTTTCTGAGTGTTTCCTATTTGAATAAACTTGATTGCCCTAGAGAGTTTTACTAATTTAAAAGGTCAAACAATTAATAAAAGAAAATAATGAACAAAAAAACTTATTATGCGGTGTATAAGAGATTTGTGTTATAAATATATTATATTATGGATGTTCATTTAGTAATTTGTTGTAAATAATCTTCCTCAACAAGCTTATCCATATGGGGCTCCACCGTAAATATGTTTATCTATTTAGTACTCTATTGGAAATAAGCTTCCTGAAGAAGCTTATCACTTCGGTACCCGGTTATGGATAAACATTACCCTAGGTAGAAGATTATCCATACCGGGTATAATAAGTTTATCCATTTAATACTCCGTTATGGATAAACATTGCGCTCAGTAGAAGATTATTCATATCTGGTATAGTAGCAGCTTACACAGGAGTTTGCAGTAGCAGCTTGCGTAGCAACTTACACAACAGCTTGTAATAGCAGCTTACACAGCATCTTGCGTAGCAGCTTGTAATAGCAGCTTACACAGCAGCTTGTAGTAGCAGCTTACACAGCATCTTGCGTAGCAGCTTGTAATAGCAGCTTACACAGCAGCTTGTAGTAGAAGCTTACACAGCAGCTTGCGTAGCAGCTTACACAACAGCTTCCTTTCTTCTATAAATAGAAGAGATTTCAGTTCATTATGTACATCAGTTTGAATTCGAATAATATATCAGTTTCTCTCTATACTTGTCTTTACTTTATAGTCTTTATTTTATAACACGTTATCAGCACGAGACTCTGCCATCTCGAGCAAATATTTTGAAAGTATCTGAGGTAAGAACTTTCTTTTCCTAAATAATGTCAAATCTTTCTAAACTTGAATTTGTAGCCCTGGATATATCGGGCAAAAGCTACATGTCTTGGGTGCTTGATGCTGAAATTCATCTTGATGCGATGGGTCTGGCAGACACCATCAAAGACAAAAATCAGGCATCAAACCAAGACCGTGCCAAAGCAATGATATTCCTACACCATCACCCTGATAAGGGCCTGAAAATGGAATATCTTACTATTAAAGATTCAGTCATACTGTGGAATAATTTGAAAGATAGATATGACCACCTGAAGATGGTCGTTCTT